CATTCGATTATGAACGCGATATTGCGTAGCTTGTCAGTGTAAGTGTTTTTATTAATGCCATTAATGTTTTTGTTAATACAGCGTATAGCACTAGTCAACTAAATGAATGTAACATGGCAAAGATTAATGCACTTTTGGAAGTTGAATGTAAGGGAAATGTCATTTTGGAGTTTCTGTGGTTTAATGTGATATTGTTGTTCATGTATATTCATGATGAAATTTTCTTTTATTGTTGCAATTAATTTATAGCATTAACAAGATGACCCATTGAATTTTTTTTAATGTTATTACAACCTAAAGATGCTATGTGAAAGTTTGAAACAGAAAATAGTGGTTTTCATCTTGCCACTTTCTTGGTAAAGAAAACACATTTTTACTCAAATTAATCAAAATGGATTTATAGTGTTTTGGAACCAAACTCTTCATATATATTTCATATCATATATATTATACGTATTGCTACATTGTATTCCATATAAATCACTGTTTCTGAAGTAACTTAACACAGCTCCGCTTTGCGTCGGTTTGTTGTTGGCCTCCACGTCATGCATTAAAATCATTTAATGCACAGCTAGCCGTACATTATCCCTTACATACACACACAGTATATATATACACTGCCGTCAAAAGTTTGGGATTAGTAAGATTTTTAATGTTTTTTAATGGAGTCTCTTATGCTCATCAAGGCTGTATTTATTTGATCAAACATACAGAAAACAGTAATATTGTGAAATATTATTGCAATTTCTAATATTGGTTTCCTATTTTAATATACTTTAAAAATGTATGTATTTCTGTCAAGCAGCTCTGAATTTTCATCAGCCAGTCTTCAGTGACACATGATCCTTCAGAAATCATTCTAATATGCTGATTTATTATGTGTTGTGCTGCTTAATATTTTTTTGAACCTGTGATACTTTTTTCTTTGATTCTTTGATGAGTAAAAAGTACAAAAAAGCATATATTGAAAATAGAAATCTTTTCAAACAATATAAGTCTTTACGATCACTTTTTATCCATTTAACACATCCTTGCTGAATAAAATAATTCATTTATTTAAAAAAAGAAGAAAAAAAAATTATGACCCAAACATTTGAATAGTAGTGTATATCAAATTTATATTTTCAATAAACGCTGTTCTTTTTAACTTTTTTGTTCATCAAAGAATCCTGAAAAAAAGTATCACAGCCTCAAAAAAATATTAAGTTGATCCCAAAACTTGTTTTTTTTTTGATGGCCTGAAGACAGAAATGATCTGAATGCAGATTGGGAATGCAAAGAATCAGTAAAATTACATTCAAGAAACAAGGAAGCAAAAGCACCACAGACAAAGAGATAGAGGATCTAAATACAAAGAATCGCTGACAAGACTTTCAGGAAAAAGGAAGCAAAACTTGGATATTGTTACAGTGACACATGGGCGCAAGAATGAAAGTTTAAAGGGGTCATGAACTGCTATTTTTTTATAGTATTCTCTGAGGTTCACTTATAATGTTAGTTAGATTTTTTTTTTTTAATCACATTTTAGAACTAATAGGCTATTTTCTGTCCTGTTTTTGAGCCTCTGTCTGTTTTTATTGGCGGGCCACATTCAAGACTCACAAGCAAATGCCCACTGCTATGATTGGTTAACAGTTTTCGATTAAATAACAGATGGGCGCTGCTGTGACATACTCTAAAATCAATATGGGTAATTTGGGTTAAAAATGTATAAATACTCAGTATATATCAAACAATCTAGAACAGACAATCCAATAGTGGTAA